CATTCCAGGGCAAGCACCTCCTCAGCCCACAACAAGACTGTGGGAAAACGAAGAGGATGAGGCTGGCTCCTCCCTAGAACCTCATGGAGTATATTCTCCAGAAGCTGTAGTTAAGTTTAGTCTGGCAAGATTGATGTCAGGTTCAGCCCAAGAACCACATCGAGGCCATCCAGTGCAGTACAGTTCCTCTATTGACTATTACCTAATAGACAGAATCTCGCCAGACTAAACTTATCTACAGCTACTAGAGGATATACTCTGCAAGGCTCTAGGGAGGAGCCAGCCTCATCCTCTTCATTTTCCCACAGTCTTGTTGCGGGCTGAGGAGGTGCTTGCCCTGGAATGTCTCTCCTCCCTCCTGACAACCTTGAAGCTCCATTCCAGAATCTTCCCCACTCATGCTATCCATCACACTACTACAGGAATCAATATCTGCATATACATTACTTGTGCAATAAATCAACTTACTTAGCCATATTGAGTCTGGGAAGCTTCTGAGTGTGGGGGTGTTGTTTCTGAAGAGTTGATATTTACTGCTGGACCTAGTGTAGGATTGCACTTTTTGCCCCAAGTATGCTTGGGGGAGGGTAATTAAAGCATTGCTGTGTGATTCCTATCAGAGGCTTAAAATTGAACTCTTATTATGCTTCTTATTTGAATAAGAAGAAAAATCACATCACTGCATTTGATAGTGTGGCCTAAAGTAGTTCAGGAGCTGATAGTGAAATACATGGCAAAATCCATTTGGCCCTTGAAGACTTGGATAAAATTGGACTGTATCCAATGGTGGCTCATGCACCAAATTTTTGCCTATTCCCTTCGCCTCCTGCAGTCATCTGTTGCTATTCCATACTGTCATGTGGATTCCCCCAGTCCTTCAGATCACCTTTCTGGGGCTGGGCATGGGGAATGAAGGAAATAAGGGGGTGAGCTCAGCAAAACCCTCCTGCCTTACCCTACTCAAGCAGAGGTACTTCCTGCTCATATCCCAGCATTGTTGGATACTACTCATATCCACATTTCTTAGGTGTCCTAGCAAGCAACATTTTAATGATCTCATTGTGTGTTGCAGAGGATGGGGTGTTGGTGGGGAGAGCTGGGTGGATAGCTGGCATCAGAAGCAGTCGGTGACTTTGGTTTTGCTTTGGGGCTCAGTTTCTCATTCTTGTGGTATCCTCCATTTTCAATCAGAATAACCTTCCAAAGAGCCAGACCCCCGTAAGGATGAGAAGGAACAGCTTTACGCCACTAGCCAGTCCGGACACGGTAAAACGTCCTCGCAATTACAGTGTTGGGAGCAAGCCTCTCAATCCGGCAGGATCTCTGCTGTTCCTGGAGGCTCAAGATCAACCAAAGCTTCAAGACAGTGTTCAGGCGGTAATATCCTCAACCTCTCCTCCAGTTCGTACTACTGCCAAAACAAGCCAGAAAAAGAAAGGCAGTTAGTACCTGCAACTATTGTGCTTCACAGCATAGAACAATTTCTTACCTCTTAAAAGCTATTAAAAGATGGAACACCTGGCTATAAATCATGCAACAAAATTAGGGGATTTCCAATCCAAGTCACCTGAAGTCTAGAAAGTTAGGGAAAGCTGGACTGAAGCTGTTAATGATAGGCGAGGCTCCAGTGAACAACCATTATGTGAAATCTCTCTCTCTCTAACTATTATCTGTCTGTCTGTCTGTCTGTCTGTCTGTCTGTCTGTCTGTCTGTCTGTCTGTCTG